TTTATCCCCATTTCACAGAAGAAACTGAGGCACAGTGACATTAAGTAGCTAGCTCAAACTCGCAGAACTAGTAGGTGGCAGAGCCAGGATTTGGTTTTAAAAAGTTCAGCCCCAGTTTTATCCACCATGTTTCTTTCAACTATGGGCAAAAGGAGAAATATTATATTCATTTTTAGCTAGTCATGAATTAATATTATAAATTGAAAGGGGAAGTATTTAGAAATAAAGAGGGAAAAAGTAAAAGGATCTATTCAATAAGAAACCATACCACCCTAAATATACATACACCTTATAACTACAAAACAGGTAATGCAAACATTGACAGAGCAAAAGATGCATAGGTAAACCATAGTAACAGCTGGAGATTTCAACACACCTTTCTCAGTAAAGGGGTAGAATAAAATGACACACACACACACACACAAAAAAAAAGCAAGTACATACAAAATTTAAAACATCATCTTAACCAACAACTGTAAAATACCATATTTTGAAGTCCATGTGACACATTAACCAAAATCAATCATGTGCTGGGTCAAATTTTAAAAGACTGAAATTTTATAAAGTATGTTCTCTGATCCAGTAAAATTAATTTAGAAATACAAAAATAATAACTAAACCCCAAATGTATTGAAATTAGTAACACAATTTTAAGTAATTCAAGGTTCAAAGAAATCACAGTTGAAATTACAAAATGTTTTAATGGGACAGTACTTAAACTGTAATATACCAAAATTTGTGGGAGACAGCCAAAGCAGTACATACAGGGAGAGTCATAGCTTTATATGTAAGAAAAGGAAAAAGTCTGAGAAACCATATAACTTTATATCTCAAGAAACTGAGGGGGGAAATTAGCAAATTAAACCCAAAGAAATAAATATCTAGGATAAAATCCAAGAAACAGAAAAATAGGCATGCAATAAAGAAAATCAAGAGAACTAAAATGGGTTCTTTGAAAATATCCATTGCATTTAGGCACAGGCAGCACCTCAACAAATTTCTTTCATCCTACTGCCTCCACCATCTACTAAGTTCTGAATTAGGAAATCAATTTTCTTTAAAGGGGGATTTTTTTTAAAGCTAGTCCTCCTCCCACAGAAGTGCTTCATATCACTAATCAGTATTAGTTTTGTCACCTCCCTTTTTGACTTTGAGTCTCTGCAAATTCTAACTATTCTCCTGTCTCTGTTTGTTCCATGCTAAGCAGATGGCCCAGAAATTAGCCAAAAGCAGGAAGAAGGTGCAGTACAAACAACTCCATCGCCTTGGTGTTATGCCTGTTCTTTTCATTTGTTTATGTTTTGCCTTTTTATTATTTCGTGTTTTTATTTTCTGCATCCAGCAAGTTTTTGTTCAGATTTCTTTTCAAACCGCCCCATAAGCCAGCATTTCTCAAAACTCAGTTGCCTACARTGGCTGTTTTTTTGTTGCTCATTAGTCATTTCACTTCAGAGGAAGGACAGGGAACAGATTGGAGACACTAAATGAATCCTATACTAGTGTGGAAGTTCCAACCATTCAGGAGCAGGGATGTGGCAGGGACTTGGGCCTGTGCAATTACAGTTATGTTTGATTGGGGAATTTGTCAGATTGCTGGATGCAAAAAAGAAAACTCGCTAATAACCACACGTGTGCAGAGTTCAACCTTAAATGAACCAGACTGCGCTTTTTTGATTAAGGAGCTTCTAGGTGCTTATGAACTACTCCTGGGACATTGAGGCCTTGGGGCTCTTTCTTACTGGGGTGGCTTCAGGAGTGGGCAGCTGATTCTGTGTTGGCTGGGTGGTATATGAACATGAAGACCCTCTTACCAGAACTGCATCCAAATGGCTTCATTTGTACCTGCTCTAAACATTGTACCCCCTTCAGCTCAAGCAGGGATAAACTCTGACTTCTCCAAGGTCATTGGGTATGAGTTAGTTGCTCTTATCCTKTCCTTATCCTTCAGTCTCCAAAACCCTTGCAGAATGGGCCACTTGCCATCATTGCTCAGAGCCAAATCTACTGCAAAGGGGATTCGACATTTTCCCCCAGAACCTAAAGATGCTAACACTCGTCCATGTGTCCATCCTCTGTGTGGTACCTTCAGCTTTGGCAATTAAACCCCAGAGTCTGCGTTGCTGTTCTGGTGACTGTGTCTTGGTGCCTCTGTGTGTGAGCTAACCTTGCCCCTTTCATCTGGATCAGAACACCATGGTAAAACTTGGTCTTGGTGCATTTTTCTTTTCAGGCTCCTGAAGGCGAATCTCAGCCAATGACCGAGGTGGACCTCTTCATTTCTACCCAGAGAATTAAAGTACTGAATGCCGACACACAGGTACCAGCTGGCTTCCACCTTTCCTGGGGTGAAGCCTAGTGGCATTGCAAGGCAGAGGCTTTGCCTGTGCCTACGGTGTGGCTGTCCCCATCTGCTGAGCTCCATGCACCCTGCTAGTGCCTCTTGCTGGGTGGGGCTGTCATTGTCTTAAAGCTCAAAGAAAAAATTAAAATATGGACGTTGTTTATCATTCTCCTGAGTTCTCTGCAGAGATTTCATTAACAGGGACAGATAAGCCTTTTGAGAAGTTTGGTTTAAAATCACACATGAAAAACTATGTCATTGAGATTTTGTCATTCTTTTTCATTTCGCCAGAGAGTCTAGTGTTTATAAAATATTTAAAATTTCTTATTTCTTTTCACTGTCAGAAAGCATTTCTTGCCCTGGGTTGGTCAAGGGAATTGCCCTCAGGCCTGAGGGAGTATCTGTACATCTGCCAACAAGGTCTTTGCTATGAGCCCTGAAGCCCACCCCAATGGCAGACCTTCTCATAGGTCTTTAGACTTATGGGCTCTCCCCTCTTGCCTCCAGGAGACAATGATGGACCACCCTCTGAGGACCATTTCCTACATCGCAGACATTGGAAACATTGTTGTGCTGATGGCCCGCCGGAGGATGCCCCGCTCCAACTCCCAAGAGAATGTCGAGGCCTCCCACCCATCACAGGATGGGAAAAGACAGTACAAGATGATCTGCCATGTCTTTGAGTCTGAAGATGTAAGGGTGGCTTCCCTTGAGCTTCCTCTGGGTGACCTGACAACAATTGGGTGGCCAGATTCTCTCGATTTCTCAGAACTGAATCAGTCTAATTCATCATACATTAAACAGATATTTATTAAGTACCTGCCATGCATCAGGCACTGTACTAGAGCTAGGGATATGGGGCTGAATAAAATATACAACAAGTGACTCACATGGGTTGAAAGGCACAGAAAATAAATAGATAAATATTCTTGGTATAAAATTATAGCGGGGCCAGGCATGATGACACACACCTGTGATCCCAGTGCTCAGAAAGCTGAGCAGAAGGATCACAAGTTTGAGGCCAACCCTAGCAACTTAGTGAGGCTTAGCAACTCAAAATTAGCACCTCAAAAACAGGAAAGGCTGGGAAGGAGCTCAGGGTCAAGAAGCACAGGGATTGGGCTGTTTTAAGTAGGGTGATCAGTAAAGTCCTCTCTTAAGAGGGTGACATTTGAGCAAAGACCTGAATAAAGTGAAAATGAGGAAAGAGCAAGGGCCAAGTCCCTGAGGCATGGGCCTGCTGAATTTGATTGAGAAGGGAAAGGAGCCATATGGCTGGAGAGCTTGAAAGAGGAAGAGGGGGAACAGTTCCATCAGACTTCAGCTGCAGGGGTACAAACAGGTCTCACGTGATCTTTAAGGAACTTGGAGAGGGCAACTCTGTGTTGTTGACAGCTCTGCCCTTAGCTATAGGAAAGTTCACATCCCTGCTCCTCCCCCCTACACCTCCAGCCAAAGGTAGGAGACCCCCCACCCACCCAGCCCCAGTCCCTAGGATCCTAGCTTCTTCTCCTCCCAGAACTGGTGGTCTCTAATCCTCCTATCTCCAGGTGATAAGATCAACAGAGACAGTTTACAAAAGAGGTCATTCTTTCATTTGACCTTCTTCCAGATTGGCCCTAGAACAGCTGGTAAGGCTGCCAGGCTTTAAAGGGCAATGGCACCTGGGCTTCCCCCAGGCACCCACCCTCCATGGGCCTTCACAGGCCTGGGAAGCTGCCCTCCAGGACAGGGTCACAGACCCATGATGATCTTGAACCACACAGCCCAAACCCAGAGGGCCACGTCACCGCCCTGGACTCTGTTCATTTTTTCCCTGTGCCACAGAGGGAAAGGTCTGTTTCTTGAATGGAGAAGAGAGCCCCAAGCTACCCATTTTTCTCTGCCAAGTGTTCACCTCACTGCAGTAATTTGCCTTCCTCCAAGAACTCAGGAGCCCTGGCAATCCTCCTTTTCTCCAGGAATCCAGAGCTGTGAAGGCTGTAACACAGCGGGGGAAACACTGACACTTATTGTCCCCATCCTCAACTGGTCTGGTTCTCTAGAAAGCAGCCCCAGACAGGCTGGGAGGCAGGGAGCTTGCAAGGCCTCTTCCTACCACTCTTCAAAGCTGAGGCCAGGCATGCAAACTGGGACAAACTGGGTTTCTGGAGATTGTCAGAAAGTTTGTGAGTGACACTTTAAGATCTTAAGTCCCCYGTGTTCTGCAGGGGAGTGGAAAAGTGGAGAGAGCTCTGCTCACCAGGTTTGAAGATCTCAAGGACACCCAGCTGCCATCTGGCCTGGAGCTCAGAAGGAGGGGTTTCTTGTCCTTGAGATTTCTTGAGGGTGCATCCAGAAAAAATGGAAAGAACAGAGGAGCAGGAGCTAGGATAGGAGTAGACCAGAGACTCTCACCTTTGCTTCCACTAAAGCATGGACGAGCACATTGTCTGCAGCACCAGCAGGGCTGGGTTGGAATCCTGATTCCAAACACAAATTGAGCACTGCTGAGCCTCAGATTCCTTTTCTGTAGAATGGCAGTGCCTCCATCTCTGGGCCACTCTGACTCAGAGGTGGTGTATTTTCAGGCTGATGCCTGGCATATGACAAGAGGTCCATAAATGCCAGTTGTTACATCCATTAATGATGATCAGCAAGTCCACAGGTGGTATTCCTGGGTTATATTGTTTCAATTCATCTACACATACCTCTTGATGCCAAAGCAATTCCTCACCCCCTTCCAGGCTTACAGCAGGTCCTTGGTGAGTTTTGGCATGTGAAGTCACCAGATTCTCTAACTTAGAAAAATTAAGCATCTGTTTTCCTCTGGCAAACCGTAGAAAGTTATCAAAGTCCAGAGCAGGAGGAAAAATAATAGAAGCCAAGTCCCCCTCCCATGAGCTGTATGACCTTTGTGTCCCTAGTCCTCACTCTCCTCACCTAGAAAATGCAGGGTTGGACTGGATCAGAGCTCTTGACTATTGTATCCAACACAACCTTTTAAAAATTTTCAAAAATAATCAATATTTGGCCATATATAGTAGAAAGGAGAAATAAAAGGTAAGCAAACTAAGGTAAAAATCATAGCACAGTATATAAATGTGCTTATACCTTCTTGATTTATGAGTAAGAGAACATAGTATTCAGTGTCATGTTGTAAACACTTTCTACTTGACATTTTGAATTGAAGGCTAAATAACAGTATGCATATATAAACACACAGGCAGAATCACCATGTACCACAGTGAGGGTACAGGCCAATAGGGATGTGATTTATTGGCAGCTCAGATCCCACAAACACTAGTGATGTGCATAATTTTCCAAAGTCATGAAGCTACTCCTGCTAAAGTCTTGGATAAAACAACCATCTTCCTTCCACTTAAGCAGTACTATTTTTGAAACATTCAGTGTAACTACACCATGAAAGTCTTTGTGCATATAAGCCAGAGTTCTTATGTCCTGAGTCCTGGACACAGATGATTAGAAACAGGTGTTACACATACATGAATGTCCTGTGTGATATTTGAAAACTGTACAGGATACAAAACAACCTGTTATTGCATGGAACTGTCCCTTGCATGGCAAGATATTCAGCATCTCTGACTCCTGTCCACTGTCCCCCCTTAAGACCATTGTCATAATCAGAAATGTCCCCAACAATTTTGAAGACAGCCCCTGATAGGCACTGGTGATCCTTTGTAGAACTTCTGGCCTACCTGATGTCTAGGACCCCTTAAATTCAGGAGGACGATAATCCGGGGGGGACAGTGCATCAGACACCCACCCACAGCACTGCCCATTGACCACCATCTTCCCCTCTGGCTGCTACTCTAGGCCCAGCTGATCGCACAGTCCATAGGGCAGGCATTCAGTGTGGCATACCAGGAATTCCTCAGGGCCAACGGGATTAACCCCGAAGACCTCAGCCAGAAGGAGTACAGTGACCTGCTCAACACCCAGGACATGTACAACGACGACCTGATCCACTTCTCCAAGTCAGAAAACTGCAAAGATGTAGGTACTTTCCTGAGACTGTTCCCCAGGCTGGGCCAGCTGGGTGGGGACCCCAGGGAGAGTGGGGCAGCCCTGCTGTATAAACGAAGGCAGCAGAATGTGGGTTTGGCAGGACATTGTGAAGGGCTCACAATCTCTCTAGCTCCACCCCAATGGGCCTCGTTACTAAATGCTGTTGTGGACAGGTGTCGCAGTATATCCTGTGTTCCTAGGAATCCAAAGCCAAGTGTTAGTGGATTCTAGAGGCAGATAGCTTTATAAGGGTAGAGTCCAGGACCTGAGAGTCTGGATAAGGGCACCAACAAAGTTCAGTTATGGTGCTCCTTCAAGCACTGGTCAAAGCCCACTGCATTTGGCAGAACAAAACAGACTGCAGGTTCAGCTGACAGATGCTGTGCACCCCACTGCTTCAGACTAAGCGCCCCAGGAGTAACTGGAGGCAGACAGAATCATCTGAGCTGGTCTGGAGGTTATTTGAAACACGTAGGAGCAAACAGAACTGAAGTAACAGGAAAATGGAAGGTCAGAAAGCTGCAGATGTGTCTAGGGAATCAGAAAGGCTTGGCTTGAACAGAGGGTGGACCCAGAAAGAGAGGGTCAGACCAAAATAAGGTCCAGGTCAGACTGAAGGGCTTGCAAGTCCAGCTGAAGCTTTCAGACTTTATCCCATAAATGTCAAGCAGCTTTAATGAGAAAGTGCTCTTCTGATCCATTAATGTATGAGGGATCTCAGGTAAGGCTCCCTGGAAGCAGAGTCTCAGGTGAGGATTCTTGTTCAGCAAGTTTATTGCAAACCTCCACTCAGAAGAGTGGAATGTGGGAGCAGGATGTGGGGCACTAGGAAGAGTGTGGTCTCACTGGCATAAGTTTCTTTGTAATCTGAGGGAAGCTCTGAGACACAGAATACAGGACAGACTTATCCCACCTTAGAGCAAATGACCTCTATTGCTCATTGGCCAAGGTTGAGCAAGAGATATAAAAGTTTGTTAATGCTTCTGTAGCAAAGTCCCACAGACTGGGTGCTTTCTGCCAAAGATGTGTGTCCTCTTCTCAGGTCTGGAGGCTGATAGGGCAAGACTGAGGTGTTGATAGGGTTGGTTCCTTCTGTAGGCCTCAGGAAGGATCTGTCCCAGACCTCTTTCCTTGGCTTATAAATGACCATCTCTTCCTTGTGCCTTCACCACATCTTCCCCATACAGTCTGTGTCCAAATTTCCTCTGAAGAGGACACCTGTCATACTGGATTAGAGCCCATCCAAATCACCACACTTTAACCCCATTCCCTCTGTAGAGACCCTGCCTCCATTTTGATGCCCTGGGGATTCTGGAGATTAGACGGCCACATAGGAATTTGGGCAGTGGGAAACAGGTCACCCCATAATGGGGATGGAATGTCTCCCATCTGGCCAAGGGCAGTTCCCAGGGAAAGGGCCAACTGTGAGCGTCAGCAGTAGTGGGGAGGGTGCCGGCTTAGAGAAGACCTCTCCAGACCCTAATAAACACACCCACACTCTGCAGGCTGCTTTCAAGAAGCACCTCACTTTTTCTCAGCATCTCTGGAAATCTCCCCATCCTGCAGGTGTGCAGCTCTAACTCCTGCCTGCCACAGAGATCAGGAGAACATTATACCTTCCCAGGACATGCTCTTCTGTGTGCACTCCTGAGCTTGCAGCTATGACGACTCCCTATGTTTTTCCTTTTTCTTTAACTTTCTCTTTTCAGAGAAGTTTTTCTGAATATTTATTTTTAACTCAGGAATCTTAAATGTTGGAGAAAACTTATGACATTTTGCGGAATGGGATAACCTGTGCTTAGAATTCAAAAGCCATTTCTAGAAGCCATAATAGGCCACCAAAGCTCCTACTGACCAACTTTCCTCCCCTGCCAGTAGAGACAACATTGAAAAAATGTTGGACAAGCCAAGTGTGTCGGTGCACGTCTATAACCCCAGCAACTCAGGAGGCTGAGGCAGGAGGATTCCAAATTAGCCTAGACAATTTAACAAGACCCTGTATCAAAATAAAATAAAAAGGGCTAGGGATGTAGTCAGTGGTACAGCACCCCTGGGTTCAATACCCAGTATCAGGGGGAAAAAAAAAATCTAGTGCCCTGTGGTTGTGTGCCGAGATCAGATTACTAATGTGAAACAAGTATGAATTACAAAAAACGGCACTGGCCTGTGTGAAATTGTTTCTTAAGGACTCTGGATGTGATGAGATGCAGAGAAGACAGGAGCTCACCTGGGCTGAGGTCATGAGGGAAAACCTGTCTTTAGGCAAGAAGTGGAGTGGCTTTCACTTCTACCACTATCTCCCATGGTTAATGATTCAGGATTTCTCTGTGTTTTTCTCCTGTCAGGTTTTCATAGAGAAGCAGAAAGGAGAAATCCTAGGAGTTGTGATTGTGGAGTCTGGCTGGGGATCCATCCTACCAACCGTGATCATAGCCAACATGATGCATGGAGGCCCCGCAGAGAAGTCGGGGAAGCTGAACATTGGAGACCAGATTATGTCCATTAATGGCACCAGCCTGGTGGGCCTGCCTCTGTCCACCTGCCAGAGCATTATCAAGGTACCCAGACCTGGGAAAAATCTATTTCTGTTATCAACCCAAAATGACATGAAGTGTAACTGCTGTCTAATCATTAACATTTACAAATGTATTCTAAGTGTCAGGCACCAAGGAAGGCACACATACAAAAAAGGCTTGTGCTCAGGGCTGGGGCTAGGGCTCAGCAGTAGTGCACTTGCCAGGCCTATGCGAGGCACTAGGTTTTATTCTCTGCACTACATATGAATAAACATAAAAGGTCTATCAATAACTAAAAACAAAATTATATATATATATGTATATATGTGTGTATATATATGTATATATGTGTGTATATATGTGTGTGTATATATATGTATATATGTGTGTGTATATATATGTATATATATGTGTGTATATATATGTATATATGTATAGATATATGTATATATAAAATATGCTTGTTCTCAGACATCTCATTATTTAGTATTTATAAGCTCCTCCTATTTACAAGTCATTTTTAGATCAGGGATAGTATATTTGGCTCACTAACAGCCACTGCAGGCATCACTAATCAATCACAACCCTCTCTCAGTATGCCTAGACTCAGCCTCAGCAGCCTCAGCTCAATAATCCAGACAGTCCCTTAGGGTAAATCAGATGAACTTGAGATGATTTACCATCTCTGTTAAGAATTATGGGAATGATAAACCAGGCATGGTGGCACACACCTACAGTCCCAGAGCCACTTGGGAGGCTGAGGTGGGAGGATCTTAAGTTCAAGACTAGCCTGTGTAACTTAGCAATACACTGTCTCATAATACAAAATAAATAAATAAAAATAAAACAGAAAGGGCTAGAGATTAAGCTCAGTGGTAGAGCACCCCCAGGTTCAACCCCCATTGCCACAGAAAGAAAAAAGAAGACCCTAGAAATGCTTCAAACCTGAAGCCACTGACACAGGCAAGTGTCTTTCCCAGAGCCTAATGGCTAATTGCCGTAAGGAGGAAACTGTTATAGTCCATGGAGTCCTCTTCTTACATGAACATAATGACTTCTCATTCAACCTGAACTGATACTGTTACATAAAGCTAAGAAGAGCTACTTAAGTGAAAATTAAATGTGAATACTTAAGAAGAAAATCTAATTTCTTTTCCTTAACAATGAAGCATCCATGTGTAGTCTTCAACACTGATACTTGCTGATCGCATGGCCAGCATGACAGAAGTATTCCTCCTATGAACCCCAAACAGTTCTGTACCATTAGCTAGAACATAGCTCTAAGGGATGAATTAGTGCAGTCATACAATCATCCTTCTGAGCATAAAAACAGAACACAAAAGCCAACATCCTCATCTAAGAGGGTGGGGGTGGGAGTAGAGGGTGCAGTTGAGTGTTTACCACCAGGGTCAGTGCTTTTGCCTTTTTTTTTTTTTTTTTGTAGAGGGGCACAATACCTTTATATGTTTATTTTATTTATTTATTTAAATATTTATTTTTTAGTTGTAGTTGGGCACAATACCTTTATTTTATTTATTTATTTTTATGTGGTGCTGAGGATTGAACCCAGCACCTCACATGTGCTAGATGAGCACTCTACCACTGAGCCACAACCCCTGCCCCATATTTATTTATTTTGATGTGGTGCTGATGATCAAACTCAGTATCTCATGCGTGCTAGGTGAATGCTTTACAACTGAGCCGCAACGCAGCCCCAGAGCTACTTTTAATGAATAAATTCTGCGTCTTCTTTAATGTATTGCCATGTGTCCTTTAATCATAGGGGCAAATTCTGAAAAATGCATCATTGGGCAATTTTGTCATTTTGCAAACATCATAGAATACCTACACAAACCCAGGTCAGTCACTAGATGTAACCTTTTTTTTTAACCTTTATTTTATTTACTTATTTTTTAATTTTTTGTAATTATGGATGGACAGAGTGCCTTTATTTTGTTTATTTTTACGTGATACTGAGGATCAAATCCAATGTCTCACACATGCTAGGCAAGCACTGCCGCTGACCTACAGCCCTAACCTCTAGATCTGGCCTCTTGATGCAAACAAGAGCTGTGGTAATCACCAACTCTGAGGCCATTATTGGCATCACATGCTACACACCTTGTTTTACAATAAACCTTGTTTTTTTTAAAGTAAGTATACTCCAGTGACAAAAGTATAACATAGTAAATGCATGAACCAGTACTGCAGTCATTGATCCAGGCATTATTACTGTACATAAGTGTGTGCTGTACTTGTATATGACTGGCCCTGACGTAGGTGTGTTTACACCAGCATCTCCAAACACATCAGGAATGAGTTGTGCTACAACCTTAGAACAGACACCATATCATTAGGCAACAGGAATTTTTCATCTTTATAATCTTTTGGGGCTATCGTGATATACACAGTCTGTGATTGACTAAAACATCATTATGTGGCACATGACTGGACATTAAAGATTAAGATTAGAGACTCTTCTCTGAACATGAATATTCAGACATGTTTCATTGGGCCTCTAGTAGGTGCTGAGCTGAGCAATGAAGATCCTAGATGACAATATGTATGTGGAGGATAATTTCAGTGATCTTAGCAACATAGAGGTAAAAGACTTGTCAGCACTTAGAGGAGGGAAAATTTTATACAATATTTAAATTCACTTTGAGGGAGTAGAACCTAAGTTGTTAGCAAAAGAGGACCGTGGCCCTTGGAAGTCCCTGTTTCCAAAGTGGGCTAGCATCGAGTCAGGGGGTGGGGCATGAGTCTGGCCTGTGAGAACTGATCTGGTGTTACCATGGTAACATGGAAAAGCAGCAGGTGGCCAGGGTTAGGAAGGCAGCATCAATCCACATTGATATCTCCCTCTTCCCCATGAATAAGTTACTTATTAAACACCTTGTTTGCATGTACAAGAATCACAAGGGACTATGAGACCCAAAGACACCACAGACAAAATCTCCACCTGGGGACTTGGCCTAGCAGGGAGAAATGACAGGACTGAAGGCCCCAGTGATCAAGTGTTGTGTGCTGTTGTTGTAAAGAGTGCACATGAATTAGTGCACTGAACTCTCACAACACCCTTCTGTGGGACAGGTACGTTTGTTTAACCCATTGGACAAGTTAGGAAACTGAGGCACAGAAAGGTGACCACATGATCATTATGGAACATGGCCACTTAGCCACTGGATAGCCTCTTTCCAGTAGTTTGTTCAAGTGCTAGATCCAAGACCTTCAGCCAAGGATGATGTTGCACRCCCCAGAAGGCCTGGAGACAGTCTCATTGTCACAAGGGGGAGGAAGGTGCTACAGGCATCTAGTTGGTAGAGACTAGAGATGCTGCCAAACACCGAAATTCTCAGGACAATCCCTCAGGGGGCTGGGTTGTGGCTCAGTGGTAGAGTGCTTTCCTAGTATGTGTGTGGCACTGGGTTCAATCCCTGGCACCACGTAAAAACAAACAAAATAAAGGTGTTGTGTCCATCTACAACTAAAAAAGTATTTTTTAAAAATGAAGAAAAAAAAGAATAACCTTATGTCTGGAAAGGTTTAAGGAGGGGCAAGAAGAAAGGAATGTTCTAGACTACATATGTCCCATGAAATGCATTTGTTGAAGCCCTAATCCCCATGTGATGGCCTTAGGAGGTGTGCCCTTTCGGAAGTAACTAGGTCATAAGGGTAGAACCCTTGAGAAAGGGATCTTTGAAAAGGGATCATTTTCCTTATGAAAAGGGCCCCAGAGAGCTCTTTGGCTTTCTTTATCCAGTTGAGGATGAAGAGAATCAGCAACAGGCAGAGGACCCTCTTAGAACAGCCCACAGGGAATGATGGCTGACACCTGGTTCACGTGAGTCATCTGAGACTCCGAAGGCACAGACACTTGCCCAGGGTCCCCAAATGGCCAGTGAGTCCCAACACTCCCTGCCAGTCTCCAAAGGACACAGACTGTATGAGGGAGTTGTGAGACTTGGCACCTCTGCTGCCACCTGGAGACTCCGCTTCTGTCATACAGATCCCTGCCGCAAGGTGAAAGGGAGCTTCTGGGAATACAGCTACCCAAGCAGCTTCCTGGGGGGAGGGTTTGTTTGAGTAGCTGAACTTAAATGTCTGTAAGTGGAGTCTCCATGGATTCAGAAAATTAAAAGACCATGCAACGATGAAAGAGATGTAGCTGCTGGAGATGGAGAGTAAGAAAACCACTGCCTCGTGGCTCTGCTCAGCAAAGCAGCACTAGGCAGGAAGCCCCAGTTAGACTCCACGGAGCTTGCACAGTGCCCCAGAACACACAACCTTGTTGAATGGGAAAATGAGATGGCCCATCTGTGGCCTCGCCCGGCTAGGGGGAAATGCTAACCACTGATAACAGCTAGAATTGCCAGTACCCCACAGACTGACTTCAAGTGGGTTTATTACTGTTTTATTAGTTCTCTAGACAGCACCCCCTTCTTGCCTGCACCTTGACAGCTGAAGGCACTGCCCCCACCACCCTTCACTGCCATTGCAGGGCACTATCTGGGCTTTTGGTGCTTGGTGATCCCATTTCAATAGGTCTCGGTGCCCTCTGCAGCTGCAGCTCCAGTGCTTCTCAAACTAATTAATGTGGGTCGCACAGCAAGCTGGTTAAAATGCAAGTTTTGATTTGGTAGGTCTCGAGTGGGGTTCTGCCTTTTTCACAAGCTCCCAGGGATGGTCATATCGCCTGCCTTCAGACTACACTTTGAGGAAGAGGAGTTTAAAGCAGTGTGTTCCGCATCTTGACACTTTAATCATGTTGACCTCCTCTGCCCCTAGACACAGAAAGAATAGATTTCTAGAGTGGAGTTACAGATATCGAACTATCTGTTTTCCTGGCTCTTATTTCTCTGTTATAATTCATTCCTGAAACATAATTATTGGTAGGTGAAGCAGGCTAGMATCTTCTCTGCTCATGCTATTGCCCTCTGGATTTTTGTTCTTTTTAAAACTAGAGCACAGTTTCCCTTTCCTTCTACAGGATCATGGTTCTGCTCTCCTGTTGCTATAGAAACCATTCTGGCTTCTCTTTCCTCCCCTCCTCCCTGCCCTTCCTCTCCCACCCTATTTCTTAATTTACTGCACCATTCCACTGTTGTCATGGGGATGAAATGACCGTTTATTTAATTGGCACCTCCAATAAAATGGCAGCTCAGAAATCTAAGTTAATGGGACCCAACTTGAAACATTGATTAGGAATAGCAGAGCAAAGGCATGGTCTGGTTATTTCAAATTGCCACTTCTCTAAGCCTCATCTTGYAGCACATTTTCCCCAATCTTGAAATTCTTTCACTGAGGGACTGAGCAGGCATCTTAAATCAATTCACATAAAAGGAAAGAACTCACCAGAGGAATGTGAATTTTTTTTTTTTTTTTGGTAACATTGAGAAAGAAAATAGGATCACTCTCCTGCTTTTCAGTATGTTCTGTAGTTTTCTGTATCCCACAAACTCATCTAAATAATTCCAGTGGTTAATATTTAATCCCAGTTTATTTATTTAATCCTCATTAATCCCAGTGTAAACATTTAAGGCCGATGCTTATCTGAGGGTTATGATTCTAATAGGCTCTTGTCTTGGCTTTCTTACCTCTCGTTTCTTGTCCAGCCCCTTTCCTGATCTCCAGGAGGCCCAGAGATGGCTTGTTCTACCCAGGACCTAACACATTTCGTGGCACATAGAAAGTGACCCATAATTTTTTTGAAGTCAGTGGTCAGTGAGATACATGCATGAATGACATTAAGCCACCCTTCACCTGCCTGGTGCAGAGTTTCCTACCCACCCCAAGTACTGCCTGTTAGGAGCCACTTCTCCCCTTCAACCCTGGGCCTTTGGAGAAGAGGGACTGTGGCTGACCTTGAGTGGCTTCCTAATCAACTCAAGAGGGGGTCAGGTCCAGCAGGAGCTTCCCACTCCCAGCTCAGACYCCCCCTACCTCTGCTCTAGTTGGGGGTGGGGGGACAGCAGGGCCTCCAACCACAACAGTGTTTTCTGTTTATCCCAAAGTGCAAAAACTTTTCTCGGTGCACTAGAACTTAACATACTGGGGAGCTCCTGCTCTGGGCCACCCTATCTATGCACACTCGAGCAAGCAGTAGTCGGGTGAGGCAGGTTTAAGCCAGGCAGAGCTGAAAGGTGGGCACAATTTTAGGGTTGATTGTATTTGCCTGGCACCCTTCTCTGGGATGAAGCTGACAAGTGGGTGATTGGGCCTGAGGGAGGCACATGGAGCTCTGTGCTGGTGGTCTAAAGCAGATGCTCCTGCAGAGGGGAGAGTGCCTGTCACAGCTCTGAGTGTGACAGAGTCTAGCCTGAGCTCACCTTAAACCACAGTGGGGTGGAGGAAACTCCGCTCAGATTGAGACCTGTTTCCTTTTCCTCCTCAAAGACTAGCTTTCCTTCCACGTTCCATTTCTAACAGAGGAAGGGCTGTGTGGTCTAGGGTCATGAAACCCTGACCTTTGTGTCTTTCCTCCTTTCTTCTCCCTCAGCACCCATCCTACAGCCCTCCCCAGGAGATGCAGACCAATGGCAGCCCCAATTGCTGTGGGAATGTCCATAAACCATAAAAATCTCCAACAGCTGAGAGGATGGGGAAAGGAGAGAAAACAGTCCCCGTGCACCTGCTATGAATGAGACGTCCTTTGTTAGGAGTCACTGCTCGAGCGTGGGAGTCCATTTCCACTCCTCTCTCTCCTGACCAGACAGAGGGTGCATCCTTCATCTTTCAAGCCAGAAAGCCCATAGAACATTTTTCCTCATAGTTGCACTTCCATCGGGTCCTTGAACACAGTCCATTTCCCAAAATGAAGATTCTGCCCACTTGACTCTGATCTCTGCCTGGGTTGAAAGAGCTCCATTTGAACCCTACTGTTTCCTCCCCTGGGGTGATAAGGTCTCCAGGGCACAGGACCGGAGCAGGCACTCCCAGGCGTCCTAGAGCGGCTTCGACCTTGGATGCTGTCTGCTCTTATTTGTTCTGCCTGCCTCAGGGGTCACCATATCCACTGTACACTATTCTTGTTTAAGGGCTTAAAGAATCAGTCCCGAGTCAAGCTGAATATCGTGAGGTGTCCTCCAGTGACCACGGTATTAATCAGAAGACCAGACCTTCGCTACCAGCTGGGATTCAGTGTCCAGAACGGAATTGTAAGTGCAACTCGCTTCACACACTTTTCCAAATGTTGACAAAAACATAGCCGTGTTCTGTTTTGTTTCTTGTTTTATTTTTTTTTCCCCAGCTAGTCCATTCCCCAAAAGCATCCCTAAGGGAAGGAGATAAGTGGATAAAGACCCACTCAGCTCCTTCTTTGGGTAGATTTCCTTTGAGCAGAGAATTCGGTGCCATTCTACGTGGGAAGAGACAGGCCCCGAAGCAGAGTTTGGCAGAGAGGCCCCCCAGCTGCTACCCTGGTAGCTAGGATGTCCCCGCCAAGGGCTGCCTCCTCCCTGGGATTGCAGCTATCTTCCTGGCTGTACTCAGAGCCCCTGCTGAACTGCCACACTCCCAAGGACAGGGCAGAGAAAGCTGCTCACTAAGCTTCAAGCTCCCCAGGGGTCCAGGGTGCACCCCAGGCCAAGATCCCTGCCCAGGGCTGTTGTGTAGGATTGATCTGTGCTTAGCCCAGTCACCGTTTTAGCCTGAATTAGCTTTAGGAATGGAGTATTTTTAATCACTTGACTGTCTGCCTTAAATAGTACTTCCTAATGTTTTCTTTTTTTATTATTGTGATAAAATATATATGATCAAAAATTTACAGCTAACCCAATTTAAGTGGCAGTAAATACATTCACAGTATTTTACAGCCATTGCCAACTAGCTGTATCCCTTTCTTCATCCCAAACAAACTGTCCTCAATAATACTCCTTTATGCCCTGGTTTGCCTTGTTCTGTATTCACAGTAACTCTGGGCTGTGGTGGCAACTGGTCTCCATCTGTAACCTTGCCTTCATGGGTTTTGGATGGTACTGCCCTCTCTTTGAATTTATCTTTCTCAACATAAGGACCCTGTTCTTTTTACACGCTTCCCTTAACTTTCAATTAAGAGTTCTTCAGTAATTAAAATTTCATTCCAAGTATGTTGTAAGGTTTAGAAATAGCCTTGAAATTCCCAATTGGAGTTGAAATTTCCAGCCCTGTTTCCTGTGGTCTCTATATCTCAGTAGCCTGGCTTGCCTGTTAGAGGAACCAGGGTTACTCCTCAGAGGTTTGGTCTGATGTCATCTCTTTACATGTTTATACCTGGTTTGCTTTGTTCATATTTGAGTAATGTTAAAAGCTGGCACTGGGGATGTAGCTTAGGGGCACAGCACTTGTGTAGCATGTGCAAGACCCCAGGGTTGAATTTTCCAGCACCACAAAAAAAAAAAAGGTTGCTCAGATATTAACATTGGGTTGCTTAGTGTGAGAGAGAGGGAGGGACAGCTACACCCTGTAGCTCTAGAGATCTCATTTGCCAGCAGCCAAGAGCCTCTATCCACTGCCTGGTTGCACATCACCAAGTTTGAACATGGTCACAGAGCTGGGAAAGCAGAAAGGTACCTTCCCCTACAACTGGCCATACGTTGGAATACAAAGTGGGGTGGCTCATGCAGTTGTGACCCTACAAAAAGGCTGCTAGCTTTAAACAGTTCCATGTTTGAGCCCACTTGTGACTCTGGAAATACTAACCTGTGCTACACAGGCTGACAGTCTGAAACACTAGCACCCAGGTGACAGGCCCAGAGGATTAACTTTTTCCCAATCAATCCCACCAAATATGCTTGGAAGACTTAATTCTTAGATTCAGCTTGTCGTGAAATCCAGCAAACTACATGAACAAGGTGGCCATGTCAACCTACAGAACCTATTTCCTGTGAAAATATTCTAAGAGATTTAAATACCCTCAGCCTAGCTCCATCTGCTTCTCAGAGATGTGCATGCTGGGGGATGAGGGTCCCAGGGAAGAGAGTCTTTTGACCCCATGGAGATCTGAGACAGGATGCTGCCCACAAGGAGTAACCTGGTGTTTGGCTCTGGTAGATCTGCAGCCTCATGCGAGGGGGAATAGCTGAGAGGGGAGGCGTCCGCGTGGGACATCGGATCATTGAAATCAACGGACAGAGCGTTGTGGCCACCCCGCAYGAGAAGATAGTCCACATCCTCTCCAATGCTGTTGGGGAGGTAGGAGGGAGGCTCGGGCTGGGGAAGGGGCTGAGGGAGCCATCTGGTACCCCTTGCATCCTGCTGACCCTGATCCCCATAGTCCTTCCAGGGACCTTCCTATGTGTCCCTTCCCCTTAATAACTGGAACCATCTTGGACCTAAAGTTGAACACACTGTCGAAGAGGTTGTCTGAGGGCTCCCCCACAACATGAAGTCAAGTCACCACTCACCTTCCCTTCCACACACACAGTGGCAGTGCTCCTGTCGGTGGCTTCCCAAGTTTTCTCCATCTTCCCCCATTAATCCCTGCAAATGTGCTTGGCAGACCTAACCCTTAGAGTCAAGGTGCACCCACACGGTGGCTCTCCTGAAGCCCTGGCTGCGGGTCCGAGGCTAATTGGCTGTTGCTTCTTTAATGCCAAGGGTAGAAAGGAGGCAGGAGCCGTGAAGCCGAGTCACTTTCCTTCCATTTGAAAGGTTCTCTGTCTTGCCAAGGACTGATCAGAATGAAAACATTGGACTGGGAAAATAAGCCTTCTCTGGTTTCCTTTGTTCACTTCACATCACCCCTGAGCATTACAGAAAGCCTGTGGGTTCTGTTCTTCCTGGGCCACCCTGGGTCCAGTCCCTGTTGGGGTGGGTACCCTGGAAGCCCCTCCCTGGAGGAGGCTTCGTCTCTCCCCTCCGCTCCATGCTCACATGCGTTTCTGCCCTCAGATCCACATGAAGACGATGCCAGCGGCCATGTACAGACTGCTGACGGCCCAGGAGCAGCCCGTTTACATCTGAGCGTGCCTGGCTCGCCCTCGCGGAGGCTTGCATGGAGGACTCTCCTCATCGTGGTTGTGTTTCTGTGCTGCATCCGTGTGTCCGCTGAGACATTTTCCTCTCGCGCCCAGCATTTGGTTTTACACAGAAAGAGAAGAATCCGCAAGGACCTCTTTGCTCTCTGTCTCTCTCCAGTTTGCTTCCCCCCCATCCCTTAAAATCAGGAAAGTTTTGTATGTGCTCCCTTGAGGATGAATAACAGCCCTCTTCCATCAGGGATATGCCCAGGGCCATCTTATAGGACCTTCAAGGGTCCCCAGGTGGCTCTCACTGCCCAAGGGGGATCGTCCTACCCCAAGAGGCACAGACCGCTTAGAAGGAACTCCCAGGGGCAGTGCAGATGCTCCCTCAGCAGTGCCTAAAACTCAGTTGCTGACYTCTGCTCTCTTCCTATCTCTTGACAGGAATGAGGCAGGAACAGGGACCATCCCACATCAAAGGTATGCACTGTCCACCATGCAGCTGGGGCCCCCTATGTTGTCTCCACCCAGAATTTCTGAGCCAACCTGCAACCTCTTTCATAGGTAGTTTTAGTTTCTACATATACGTGGGGTCTAATACAGGCCTCCTCACATAAGGATAAAGGGAGAAGTGACAGCCTCGGACAGGCTGCCCTGGCACTGCAGAGAGCGGCAATTCACCAGGCAACCGAAGCTCTGCCAGGTACTCTGAGGTCACTGGTCAGTAGATAACGCAGGCAGGTGCCATCTGCCTCTCCGTATATTACACACACACACACACACACACACACACACACACACACACGCTCTCACAGTATCTCACATGCACATTGCCCTGCCCTGCTCTCTACCACCAGGAAGACAAGCTAAAAATCTGGCACACAGAGCCCCTGGAAACCCACAGCCCCTCTCTGGGAGACCCCTTGCCCTGGCAGGAGGTCAGGCATGCAGAGTCTAATCAGCCTTGTCCTGAGAGAGATGCCGTCTCTGGCTGAGGCCTGGCCCTCCCGATACCACTTGACTGAAAATGTTTTCTCGGACTCCCCTACCCCTGTACACACGGGGGCGGGGAAGGGAGGTGGGGAAGGGAGGCAGGGAAGGGAGGCTGGGAAGGCTGTACTATTCTCCTGGAAGAGAGTGATGGCACGTTTCTGAACCCCAGGTGAGACCAACCTCCAAGCCGTCAGGACCACCAGGCAGGATGTGATATCTGAAAGGCCAGAATAGCCCACAAACCACAAAATTAAGGGGTCAGTAATGACCTCAGATTATGCCTAAGAATCCCCAAATGTGTTCTGGAAATATCTCCATGCCTGGTTGGTCTACGGGAGCTTTCAGCTGGTGTGGAATGTCGTGTTTGCATCAGGTGCCCCACACTTCTGGATTCCATCTCAGTTCAGTGTGGATGTTTTAGTAATATTATTCTGAGCCAGTTTTCGCTTATTCTTGGTCCAAAGAACTTTTTTCTTTTCTTTTTCTTTTTCTTTTTTTTTTTCATGTGGGGTGTGACTTGGTTTTGTTTTTGTTTTGTTTCATTCATGACCTCAGTAGAGACAGGGGAAGAAAAACTAATATATTTTGTAATATTAATATAACCCCTGTTCTCTGCCTCTGGGATATTTATGTTGTGTCTGTGGAAATAGGAATTCAGTGAGCAAAAGTTAGGTAGGATGTATTTATCTAGAGAACAGAGGAATTTAAGGGAGAAAAGTGATCATAACAAGTTTAGAAATATGAGACTTCGGCCAGAGAACAATGTCATCCGACCCCCTGGACGTCCTGGACTTTGAGTTTTCTGAATTAAGAATCAGAAAATCAAATGTTTGAAAGAAATCAGCAGCTGAAGTCTCTGTTTTACTGTAATAAAAAAGCCCCAATGAAGGGAGGCCACCAGCTGCCCCCAAGTCCTATATAGGCAGGAGCTGGCTGCTGCTGCGGGGCACTGGCTGGGTGGGGCCATGGGAGCCAGGGATGGGTGATCTAGGACCCTGGACTTGTTCAAAGGATGCTTAACAGAATGCTGCCAGGTGACAAGCCCAAGGTCAACCCACCATAAATGTGAGGATCAGGAACCCCAGTCTGAATTCTATTTGCCTTTCCTAAAATAATCAAATTTCAGAGAGTCTAGTATTATAATTAAATACTAAAGAGTCAGCAGTCCATCTCTGCCCTGCCAGAAGAGACAGTGGGTAGAACAAGAATGAAGCATTATCAGCATTTCAGGCAGCAGAAGCCTTGGAAAATCATTGGAAGGGCTCTTGCCAGTCTGTCCCCAGGGTGGCCCCTTGGTGCACCTGCCCAAGCTCCTAGATAGGACCAGAGAGACCTGCCTGCAATTGACCCGGGATGGGAACATTATCCCTGCCCAACTCCTAAGTAATTACAGTGAAGTATCTTCATCCTAATGAGAGAGAAAGAGAAAATACTTTCTATTCCTATTGCACAAAAAATGTTGGAAACTTCAAGAGGTGCTGGAAAGCCAATTTGTAAGCTCTTCTAGAGGACTCATGTATTTTAGCATAAGAGTAAGAGTATTTCTGCATCACTTTCTGTTGTGCTAATCAGTGTGGTTCCTCACACCCGAGTGGAAGCTGTTGGAGCTTGGTACAGGCCCACCTCGCTGAAATGTGTTCTTCCTCTGCTAACATCAGCCTACCTGTGGTTAACCTCAGAAAGGGGATCTCAAGTGTTAGTCACTCTGTGTCCGAAAGTCCCAAAAGAGGTGGTGGTCTCTTTCCCTTCTGACATCCCGTATGTGTGTAGTTACATGTGTGAATATCTCAGCACCCCACATAGCAGGGATGATGTACGTGCAGAGCAGCCTGTCCCCAAAATGCAAGGCACAAAATTACCCTAGCCACTCTGGCCACTGTGCTGGGACAGGCTAGTGATTCAGCTTTGGGGACGGGCTCCCAGATTCACCTCTTCCTCCTGGTCTTCCCAGGATGCACCAAAATCCACCCTGCCTCTGCCTTCTCCAATGGGGACTTTTCAGGGAGCCACCCACTACCAGCCTTGGGTCATGAGAGGAAGAAACCCCCCAAACCAATGCCTGAAGCCCACTTCCCAGAGGATCCCCTCCTCCCTCTCCAGAGTGTGCTCAGCAGGGGTAGAGCACATCCCAGGGCACCTCGTCCCTGTGCACAGGCTTGCTTTCTGAACATTGCCCATCAACACTGGCCTTCAGGGAGTCCAGAGTAACCTACTACCTCCCCCATTGCTCCTCCTCCCTCTAAACCCCACCACACCCAACGCTCCCTGTCGCAAGCTAATGAAAACCCACCCACCTGCAGAGCCCTTCCTGGGTCTCTCCACCCAGTGGTGTGGCCATTACCAATGTTTACAACCAAGGGCCGCCTCGTCCTGATGTATCAACTCTCACCTTCACCAGGCTACTTGTTGGTTAGTTTCACCTCTGTCCGCTCCTTCCCTGGCTGGAGTCCACTTGAGCACTCAACCCTTAATTTTACTTCCCCCTCCATCAAGGCAGTGTGTGAGGACTGTGTGGGAATGAAATCTCTTGTACATACTTAGCACAGCACCTAGAGTATGAACTTGTACTCCCGTTCAGTAAAGAGGGTACATAGAGTTTATTGTAAAGCGTCGGGAGAAGTATTGTATTTGTAACAATATCGTTCTTTGTATACACAAAACTCAATGATCTCTATATATAAATATAAATAAATATATAAATAAAATATATCTACACGTGAGCCTGGAATGTTGACACCGCACACCCACTGAATGTATTTCCTCTTGACAGTCTGGTCACCGGTCCTGGCCCTCCCTCCCCTTCTCTGTACCATGGCCGCAGTTGTCTGGTTTGGGGTTGTGATGTATTTAATGTGCTATCTCCTTTATTTAACTGAACGCTAATGTCTGTATAAGAGTTGCTGCAACAATAAACAAGAACTTCATCTCTTGGCCCCGCTGAGTGTCTTATTGTTTCACGACAGGTACAGACCTTGTTGGGGAGGATCATGTCTTTTCCCTAATATGCCACCTCCTGCCCACTGTGACTACAGGGTCTTGCTGCCCAGAGCCCAGGCTTTTGTTCTGTGAAGCTGACCTGGTTATAAACACAAAAGGCTGTGTTTGCCTGTTGGGCTGATCCTCCCTGGTACTGTCAGCCACCCATGAGTACACTGTGAACAAGAGAAGGACCCTCTGGATTTCACACTTTGTATCCTTGAGGGAAGTGAAACAGGAATTAATTCCCCTCTCCTCAACCCCCACAGAAACCTCTAGCGAAGGGAGGGAGGCTCTGTTAAGGGCCTGAGTGGTGGACAGTGGAAAATAGTACCCTGGAGACCCATTGGAAGGTTCTGTGAGAAAGTTCTGAAAGATTTTCAAAGGAATTGCTTTTTGCAATTCTACTTTTCAAACTTCAGCAGCATGACCTTCCTGTATGCTGGAGGTRCTAACAGTATTCAGCCCTCTTTCTAAAGCAGAATACTCTTCACAATTTTTCTCTGAGAATATCATTGCCTTCAAAAACTTGACACAGGCCCTGTAAGTTCTGTGCATTGGAACTGCCAGAAGCCCTGGGAAAGGGCTCCACCTGGGAGGTGGAGGCTGGGCATTTACAGTGGTCCTGTGGCAGCCTCCTGGGATCCACCTCCAGAGGACCCATATTAGTCTGTTTTGTATTTCTATAACAAAATACATGAGCCTGGAAACTTATACAGAGGTTTAGGAAGGAGAGCAAAACAGTTGTACAGTAAGGCCCCCCAACTGTCATCTCACCACAGAAACATCTGTTTAAACAGTTATGCACACACAAAATTGCCTTCACAAGAGCTAAGGAAATCCCATGAGAGATTGCAGTACCTGGTTTTAACACAAGAGACACCCTGAAGAAAGCAGGAAGGAAAGGTTGGTTATGTCATCATCCTTCAACTTTAAGCAGCACAACATGGAAAGAGATGCCTCCCACTTGGGAGAGGGAGAGAGAATTAACTGAAGGCTTTAGACTTGAAATCCAGAACCCCCATGGCCCCT